GATACGTCGATGCTTGCAACAAATAACTGTAAAATTGCGTGTACGATCATCGTGTTTCATTTCCGGTTCGTCTGACTTTCTGATTCAACGCCGAGAGTTGGCGCAATCGTTACGAGTCTGGTAAATTTTGTTTATTACCAATGCTTCTTCATTTTTAATGCTTGTTTGTTTGTTTTTTCAAACACGGCAACTTTGCCTGTGCATTTTGTCACAGTGTACAATCGACAATACTAACGATGGGACTGATTACCGCCTGTGATGGGCTGGGGAATAAGACTGCATGGCGAGAGTGTGAAAGTCCGAGCTGAAACACCAATGCGGCCGATCGTTGACAATCGTTCTTATGCATTAAATACACCAATGAATCCATGGGCAGAATCACTTGGTTTCAGTGAATTTACATGATATAATTTGTTGTAAAAAAGTAAAGCTGTGTAATTATCCAGATGAAAATGAGTGACTTATTAAAAAGACCAATTCATTGTAGGTTTGTTTTGCTTATGATCTCCCTTAAAATTCCCACCCTAATTAATATTCATGAATAAATTAGGCCACCTCCATATAAAGACCACCTGTCTATAAAGGACAGTTTGGCTCAGTCCACTGACTGTCCTTTATAGACAGGTTTGACTGTACTAGCTAAAGTAAATTATTCTACAGTAAAAGAATAGGTTTATTAAAATATATGTTCCAGGGCTATGTGGTGTTCTCGCCTCAATGATATCTAGGTTTTGGACATAAAAGAAGATTTATGCATGATCTCTAAAGGTCATATATCCTGGTATTTTTGGGAGGGGGTAGTTGTCAATGAAGCCCAACAACAAATTAACATGACAAATATTGTCACAGTGGTACATGTACAAGGCTAAAACAAAGTTTTTCTGGTCACTTTTTTTTAAATATGTGTGAGTAGTATTTTCTTTTTAATTATATTTATGACGGTTTCTAATCCACTATGGCACTGTCAGGGATTGGAGTCAATCCGAAACTATTTACAAGATTGTGTATTATTGGCTAATCAACCCCACCACCTCATAATCAGACCAATCAGAGAGCAGCTTGTTTTTTTTCAATGTATCAAATTCAGTCTTGTACATATGCTTCAAATGAGGGGTTGTTTTAGTTCGGTTTATTTGGGCTGGTCTAAATTGGCTCACCGTGTAACAAATTAATTTCAGAGAAAGCCAGAAGATATTTGATTGTTGACTATGCGTAGCATGGTTCAAAGATTAAGTAATAAATCTTGATATCTCCCCAGGAGACAACAGCAAGGGAGATTGTCATGTTAGCCATGAGGGAGTTTGGATTTACAGACAATCAAAATTGTGGTAAATACTCGCTATGTGAGGTGTCAGTCTCGCCTGAAAGCGTTGTAAAACAGAAGCGGCTTCCAGATCACTTAAGTAACTTGATGTCCAGGTCATCTCTGACGGGAAGGTACTACCTCAAAAATAACATGTCAACGGAACAACTGGTTACTGACGAGATTGCTGTGGTAAGTATGGCTGTGTATTGATCATGTGATATCAGCTAACCAATTGGATTCTGTGTAGTCATGGTAACGCTAATTTTCTTTTGAATTAGATGACTTTGTTGCTGTCAGTAGTCACCAATTATGGACACTGTCAGTGTAAAACTTTTCGAAAATTTCCTTTTCTCTAACATTACTGCGCAAGACAATTTTTCATTTTTCTAAAACATCTTTGAATTCAAAATAATGAGATATGTAGATTAAAAAAAACAAAGATTCTTAAAAGTTTTTTTTTTTCTGCAGGAGCTTCTGAAAGAAGGAGTGGTGAATTTTTTACAGCTCAATGGTTCTGAAGTTGCAATACAAATGACGCTTCATGATTTTGAGAAATTTCAATCAATTGAACCAACGGAGTACATAGATGACCTATGGCGAAATAACTCAAAACACGGCACAATTAAACTTAAAGAATTTGAAGAGGTGAGTCTGTGTTGAATTCTAGGCATATATTGGTATCCTTTGCTTGTGGCACTCAACATTGTTCTTCTACATAATGTACCATTTTAAAAGTATGTTCTTATACTGTAAAAAGACTAATTTTCACTTATTTTAAATTTCGCTGATTTAGCATTTCAGGCATATTCAGCGGGTTTTAAATTCACAGATTTATCATTTAGATAATGTGTTCTATGCTTAATGTTACATATTCACTGTGTTTTAATTTAGCGCATTTTCCTGTCAGCGAAATAAGCAAAATTAAGACCCAGTGAATAATTAACCCCTTTACAGTACATTTTAATGTTCAAACACTTCCCTTTGATTACACAGGACACGACAGCAATATATCCCACAATAGAAATCCTATCAATGAAAGCAAATATCTGCAATTATCTCATAAAACATTTTTGTTTTATAAACAAGAAAAAACGTTTATAATAATAAAGTTATGACAAAAATACTGCAAAGTTTGCACTCAGGCGGTACAGGATGCCATTGACCTCATTACGTGTTGGTCAATACGATTGCCATACTGTATTTGTGTATAATTTGCGGTATTCTCATGATAACTGTATCAACTGACAACAACTTTTGAACTTGTGATTCATTGAACTTGTCTATTTGACCTCTCTGTACCTTTCTAGACTTTACTTATATATTTTTCATGTTTTCATCTTTTTCTCATTGCATATTTGCAGCTTGTGAACCGAGAAATGTTCTGGGTTGTCACGGAAATTGTCAGTGAACTTAATCAATTGAAACGAGTGAAGATAATTAAACAATTCATTAAAATTTCAAGTAAGTTTGCTTTACTAACAAATTTCAGGTTGTTTAAAACTTGTACAG